TTCACGAAGTGTCCACGAACACTGGCGCGTGATGTCGTCTCCACCAAATCGAAGTGTCTGGACGCTTGGACATGGGGTTTGTGCCTCAAGGCCGCAGAGGAGCGCGAGGCTTTCCTTCAAGCTCTTATGCGGGACCGCGCCGAGGCCGGCGCGGGAGCTGTGGAGCTTTCTGCGAGCACGGAGTCGTAGAGCATTGTTTCAGTGTGTATGTGTAAACAGTGTCCATGGTGTGGCATGTAGCAAGTAGCTTGTGCGCGTTTTGAAGGCAGACCGCATCGAAATCGAAGCTCGCAAGGAGGCCAATGCCCATGCGTGCCAATTCCATGATCAGGACTTGCAAGTTTCCCGAGAATTGGCATCTTGCGCGCGCTCTTGCCTTTGGTCTCTGGCGGGCAGATCCTGAGGCCAAGCGGGCGGAAACCCTGCGGCGCCTTGAGGCACAGGGGCCGGGGATCTGTGGGGAGGGATCTTTGGGAACATCTGGGGGACTCTGGCTTTGGGAAGTGGTTTGCAATGGCTGGGCGGCCTGGCACTGCGTGAAGACGCGCTGACAGCGGCGCTTTCGAAGCTGGTGCACCTTCGCTTCGCAGGCCACGAACCGCGCCATCCGTGCGCAGTTCGACCAGATTGCACAGGCCGCGGATAGCAAGGAGGCCGGCTTGCCAGAGTGCCTGCGAGGCAGCGCTGTTCCACAAGCGCAATCATGCCGCAGTGCGTGCAGGCCAGTGTCCAATTCATGGCCGGGGTGGAGGTGACTCCGGGCAGAGTGGCACAGAGCATAAAGCACGTCCGCAAGAGCCCGCAAACAGGAAGCCTGCACATACCCGCAGTAATGTCTTGGCGTCTTGGCAGTCTTGCCCGAAGGAAATTCCGATGGACCGACCACTTGCCTGGGGCTCAGCCGCAGCCCATTGCATCATTGGCCTCGTGTGTCGTTATACAGTAACCGCCTGTGGATTCCTGGTTGCTCATGAAGAGGACAGAGGTTGGAGGGAGTGAGATGTAACCACAGGTTTAAAAGGACAAGTGCCATGTTGAGTGACTGCCGAGGCCCCATGCGTGCCTGCATCTTCCACTTCGTCCATGACAGGACCGTCCGTTCTCCTTGCGTGGGCACAGCTTTCGAGTTTTATGCAACAATACGAAGTCGACAAGTTCAAGCATCCGCACGAGGTGCGCACCATTGCACGCCCCTTGCAACGTCGCAGCAACTTCTTCATGGTTCCACCACAAGGTGAAGTTGATGTTCTTGTTTACGGGACGGGGCGAGACTGCAGCACGCCCCACACATCCCCACTTTCATACAACGCCAGCTCGGGGCATTTGGAGGACGTCAGCGATTCTGGCATGTACCCTCTCATGTTTCCCTCTCATGTTTTTGGAGACGGCGCCTCTAAGAGGCCGTGCGAGTAACCACAATTTCTGGGGCTCGGGGTGGGGTGGGGTGGGGTGGGGGGGGGGGGGGGGGGGGGGTGACTTGGGACTTCACACCTGCAACTCCAAAGCCTGAACCCCTAATCCCCAAAGGCCTAAACCCTTGCTGTTTAATTCGGGGTTTATAAGCAAAACGCGCCCGCGCCTAGGCGAGAGCGCAATTTCAAGCAAAAAATGTGTCCGAAACTTCAAAACGACACCCCCTAGAAAAAAAACACAACAAACAAACGATCCTTAAACCCAAAAGAATAGTCCAAGCAGTGCAAATCCAAATCCTGAAACCTGAACCCTAAACTTTGAACCTTGAACCCTGAAGAAGAATCAACTTGAGGCCGCTTTCAGGATCCAGTGCACAAGTCTGTTGGGTTACAACCAAAGCACAATTCCAAAAAATCATGCCTGCGCTGTGGCGAGAGCACTATTTCGAACCTGAACTGCCGGAGCCATAACGCAGAAAAAACTTCCCGAACCGAAAATCGCCATTTGAAAGTTCAACATGGGGAATGAGCAAAACGTGCCCGCGCCTAGGCGAGAGCGCAAATTCGAGCAAAAAACGCGTCCAAAACTTCAAAAAAAAGACCCCCTGGAGAAAAAACAACAAAAAACGATCAGGCTTCGAGCGAAAATGCATTTTTCCGAAAAAAAGACCTAACCCTTCGGTGATTTCGAGCCCTGCAAATGCTGCGGTCATGACGAAAATGTGTGTTTCGCTTGGGTTTTTAGCCCCCGACGCGAAAAATGTAAACAAAAAATGTGTTCACTCACACGGCCTCTTACGGGCGCCGCCACCATGTTTTTGGCTGTGTTCTTGGCCCACCACAGAGGATCCCCAACAAAAACCACGAGAGACGGGTGGAAAACCCACGCTCTGGATGTCTTTGGGTCCCTGTGGCAAGCAAAGTGCTGGCAGCGACGTCCTTGCGACAGCTGTGACGGTCAGCTTTTTTGTGGAGTCCGAACAACGTGGCAAGTTGCTCCGGTGTAATTTTCTTATAATCCCCTTCGAACAATAGTTCGGCCCCTTCTCCTCTCAGAGTGCAGCACGAAACCGACACCAGTTATGTCTCTTCCCGCGGAGGAGTTGTCAAGAAACCCATATTGAAGGCGAGCTGGGCAGCGATGTTGAATGTTCTGTGTCCTCTGTCACTGGGAGATTGCTTCCACGCAGCTTGTCAGGGCGCTGGCGAGCGCAAGCACGTGGCTCCCTGCCATGGGCAAGCCCGCCATGGGCAAGCCCGCGGGGAGGCTCCTTGACATCTTTGAATGCAGAACTCAGCACGAGTCATGACCGAATGAGCCGTTATGTTGTGTCAACCTTCGAGGAAACTCCAAGTTCCTCTAATGACAGCGTGCGTATCTCAGTCAAGCAAAGCAGAGAGAGCCCGTGTCACGCGACTGTGCTACGACGTTGTGGTCCAGGTGTACCCTGACTATGATGATGGGGAGGACTTGGTGTGCTTTGAGGACTGAGCCCAGGGAAGATTCCCGAAGCACACCGCTCGATGTGCAACCGGTGAGCTACAGTAATGCTACACAATTTTATGCAAGAAGTCTCCACGCATAAAGAAGATCTCGAAGCACACTGCTCAAAGTCTAAAGTGCGCCCGGTGAGCTACAGCAAAGCTCACTGCGGCTGCCAATTAATTGGTCTCACTGTTGAAGGCACTTGTGCACTTTTCATGCGATTGCATCAGGCGCCTGGCAAAGTATTGTGGTTGCACACCTGCCTCCTTGGCAAAGATTCAAGCTCGTCTGACATGAATTCGTTGCTGTTTCCGGTTGGACCCCTTTGACCCTGTGTAAGGGAAGCCCTTCCTGCAATACTGTGAAGGTTTGGTTCAAAACGATACCCCCGTTTCAACCTCACGCATCGTCAGACACTAGCGGCCGCTGCCACATCAGTATCACAAGGTATCGAGCCATGGTGGCAGCTTTGTCCGCAATACCACGCAATGCATTGCAAAACCTGCACTTCGGCAAGAGACTTGCAAGCAGCCGTTCGTACATACCTCTACTAGGTCATGATCCTATGGCTCGGCGCATGTGAGCAGCCGCGGTTCAGCCGCGCAAGCATGGACCACGTGCGTGGGGCTGAGCCGTAACTGGCCATAATTCGTCAACACCTGTGGTCTGGGACTGCAAAAGGTCTAGAAGGGGAGGTTTCGCTGTCGAGGTCCAATATCTGCACATGCATCACCTTCGCATCCATTCTCCTTTCGTGCTTTCGTGGAGAGGGCTGTAATGTCAAAGCGATCTGTGCAACCTGCACCTTGCCAAAACATTTGAGCTGTAGGGGTTGCCACATTCGTCATTTGGTACTGACAGGGTTGCCAAAGGACAGCTCAGCGAGGTGAAACTCCACGGGATGCTCAGAGGCTCCAGTCCAGCCAGAGAAGCCGAATGCCCTGAGGTCACTCATGCGCGCCGCTTGCCGCAACCGCTCCTCACCTTCTTCGAGCGCAGCTCTGCCTGGAGGCACGTGGACTTGAGCAACCTGCGCAGCGCCCAGGGAACAAGAGCAAGCCGCAATGTGAGCCCACTGACTGATTCGTCACTTCGCGGCAGCCGCGGTGCAGTCTAACAGCATTTCAAAAGGGCCTTTTTCTTCTTTGCCAGGCTGCAGCCTGCCGTGCTTGAAGGCCTGGGGGCAGCCGTGCCCTTCGCGAGATTCGCGAGCCATGGCCCATGGAAGGCCACGTTAGTGCCACGTTGCTTAAATTGAACAATTGGATCCACAATTGCCAGCATATTCCGGTGTTTCCAGCTGGGGGCATGAACATGGATGAATGGCTGGGGCAGTCTGTGGCATGAAGCTCCTCTCGGTTTACTTCAGGTCTTTGCTTGGGTCTGACGGGGCCGCAACCACAAGGTTTAAACGGGCGGTCGGAGGGGAGGATGCGGGGATTGTTGACCATTCCTTTTTGGACTGTCGAGGCCGGATCTCCGCCTGTTCGTCCATGACAGTCTCGTCCGTTCTCCTGGCAAACAGCTGTCGAATTTATGCAACAATGCGAAGTAGACAAGTTTAAGCATCCACACGAGCTGCACTCCTCTTGCAACGTCACAGGAACTTCTTCATGATTCCACCCCGGGTGAAGTGGATGTTCTTGATCAAGGGACAGGGGGGGAGGCTGCGCCACACCCCACACATCCGCAACACCCTCCTACACCGCCAACTCGGGATACCTCAAGGACGAACGTGTCAGCGATTCTGGCATGAGTCAGGCCGTTTGTCGCAGTTGTTGCGGCACGCAACCACACAGGGTGGTCTGGATTTTGGTGGTAGTGCATCCGGCGTTTCGGTCTTGCTTGCCGAAAAAGAACCACAAGGACTCTGTAGGCCCGGAAGGTGTTGGAAGGGAGGGAGGCCGTCGGAAGTCTCGTGAGATCTCGTGCGGCTGCGTTCTTGGCCTCCCCTTAAAAGATCCCCAACCGACAAAGCACAAGAGACCGGTGGCAAGCCAAAAATGTGGATCCCTGTGGCAAGCAAAGTGCTGGCAGCGACGTCCTTGCGACAGCTGCGCGGTTTGTTTTTGTTGAGGTCAACACTAACAGTTTGTCAAGTTTGCTGCTGTGTTTCCTTGTCCCCTCAAAACAGCGCAGTGCCAAACCGACACGAGTTATGGCTCTTCCCGCGGAGGTGTCGTCAAGAAGCCCATTTTGAAGGCGAGCTGGGCGGCAACGTTGAACGTTGAAAGCTCCCGTGTCCTGCGTCACGAGGGCATTGCTTCCGAACAGCTCATTGAGCGCAAGCACGTGGCTCCCTGCCGTGGGCAAGCCTGTGGAGACGCTCCTTGAATGCACAACTCATCACGAGTCACGACTGAATGAGCCGCTGTGTTGCGTCAAGTTCGGCGTCTGCCGTCAAACACCTTCGAGGAAACACAAATTCCTCTGATGAGTCATCAGAGGAATTTGGCGTTTCCTCGAAGGTGTTTGACGGCAGACGCCGAACTTGACATGACAGCGCCCGCATCTGAGACAAGCAGGGCAGAGAGAGCCTGCGTCTCGTGATGCTACGTTACGTAGATGTTACGTGGTTTTGGCAGCTGTAGGTCTACCCTGAGCGCAGTGCCAAACCAACATGAGTTATGGCTCTTCCCGTGGAGGTGTCGTCAAGAAGTCCATTTTGAACCTTAAAATGGGCTTCTTGACGGCACCTCTGCGGGAAGAGCCATAACAGATTCTGCGGGCTGGATGGAGCAAACACATGGGGGGCAGAATCGGGCCATAGAGGAGGCTGCGTCGACATGCGAGCTACGTGGATTTCTTTGTTTTTGTCCCAGCCCAACCTTTACCTGCTGAGCATGAGCTCTAACTCTAAGCGTTGCGGGGGACAGCAAGCTGTTTCGTTTCTACCCTGGTTACGACGGGGACGATGCCGACCTGATTTGCTTTGAGTGAGCTCTAAGAAGACGCCCGAAGCACGACTGGTCGAAGCGTAGCCGGTGAGCTACAGCAAAGCTCACTTGCGCATGCCAACTGGTCTCACGTCGTGAGACCAATTGGCATGTGAGCTTTGCTGCGGGAAAGTAGTGCACTTTCACGCACTTGCGTCAGGCGCCTGGCAAAGCTCAAGCTAGTCTGACATGGGATCGTTTCTGTCCAGGGTTGGGCCCTCGACCCTTTGTCAGGGAAGCGCCTCCTGCAAGGCTGCAGAGGTTTGGCTCAAAGGGTTAGTCGGCTGACCTGACACCAGCAATTTCAACCGACGCTTCACTCATCTTCAAGATGAGTGAAGCGTCGGTTGAAATTGGCGAAAACAGAGACTCTGTTTTCGTTTCATTTCGTTTCTGCTGAAATTTCCTGCCGCGCTGGTGGCAAAAAAAGGTGGTGATTGTGCAACTCTGACATCGGCACACCTTCATACACTTTCATTCGGCAACGTTGCAGCTTGCGAGTCGGCCGAAGTCCAGTGTCGAGTGCAGTTTTTGGCTGAAGTGGAAGTGACTCCTGGCAGAGAGCATGTCGACAAGACTGGCAAGTCGCCTGTACAGACCCACACTAGGTCATACTAGTTTTCCTGGCATGTCCCAATGGATCGCCCCGAAGGAAATTTACATGACGACACGCACCAGGAGGTGCTTTGCATCCGGACCCCGTCCTTCTCGCGTCCAATGCAGCAGAACTCGCACCTCAGGGTCTACATGACCCTAAGGCGCGGGGTGTGCTGCCTTGCGCGCGAGAAAGACGGAGTCTGGACACAGTGCTTCGCGGATCTTCGCGGGTGCACGCGTGTGCCATGTCAGCAACATCGGGGCCGGGCCCTGATGCCCAACAGAAGCTCCAGACCTGTTCATGCAGCGCAGGTCCCAGGCCAGCCCGGATGCGAGAGACTGCGCGCAGCTTGCGTCTAAGCCAATCGCCCGTCTGACTTGCGTCATCTTTACAATCCAGCAGCTCTTCTTTGTGTCGAAAGCAGAGCCCCCCCCCCCCCCCATGCGCTGCCGGTTGTGCGTGAGCTCCTGCATGCCAATGCGAGCAAGTTGACGGGCTGAGGCAGGTCTCCCGGCAGTGACAAAGGTTGTTGCTGCGAGCTTGGGCTTAGACCACGTCTGCTGCTGTATGTCTGCGCTGCAGCGAACAACATGCCAACATATGCCAACAACACCGACCATAGCTTCTAGGAGACTAGCTGTCGCCCAGGCCACCGGCGCTGGTCAAGCAGAAAGCTGGGGCAAAGAGTTTGCAGCATTGTGCGCCAGCTTAGGCAAAGAAGCGCTTGCTTGTTGCTATGACTAACCAATACTTCGTGCTACTGGTAGGACGTGTTGGAGCTGATCACAAGGCAAGTGCTGGATCCTCCACGACAATATATTTAACAATTTTTAATTCTGGGGGGGGGGGGGGGGGGGTGGTTACATTTTCATAATTTGTTTCAGTGGTTGGGGTTGAGGTGTCCAGGGAAACGGTGCAGCTTGAAGAGAGAAAGAGGGCTGCTGCCAGATGTCAACCTTAAGTTCGGGAGAGACCTTCTGGAAGAGTCCAGGCAGTTGGTGCTCGCACCATAGCATGAACCTCCCTGCAGCGTGCAAGCTCAAAGGGTTTAGACTTTGAGCTAATTTGCGCAGCTCATCGCAAAGCGATGGGCGCCACACAGCCCCTTGATCACGCACTCAGATGCTGTGTCTGGTCCCTCTGTTGTCGGCTACATGACTGGTGCTTTTGCATGCCCGTAGACATCGTTAGGCTGATGGCATCTGACGATAGACCCTAAGGTGCGCATTTTGCTGTGTCGGACGCGACAAGGACGGAGTCCGGACGCAGTGCTTCGCGGGTGCACGCGTGTTCCATGGCAGGGCCCTGATGCCGCTGCCCTGCGGCAAGGCAGGTGGCTTCCGCAGCTTTGGCGTGCGGAGCCTGTGCATTCGCAAGTTGTCATACGCAGGCCTGCCGGACCTCCTGACAGGACGGAGGTCCCAGGCCGGATCTGAAAAGGATGTTAGGCGTTTGGGACTGCGTGCTCCTTGCGTGAGTTATTGTGAGCGGCAACGACCTCCGATGAGATCCTCTATGATCCGCTGACTCGCGAGCCAAGCAGCCAAGCCCAACCAAACCCGCAAAAACACCCCTCCAGGGCCTGGAGGGCAAAGAGGAGAAGAGCAAGGAGGCGTGGACTGGCAGCCGATCGGACGCAGCTTATGCTACTAGCAGGTAAAGCTCTGTAAGGCGGGATGCTGCCGGGGTGAACCCCTCAGGAGCGCACTTTAATTGATGGTGGGCGGGCGGGCGCGCGGGGGGGGGGGGGGGGGGAGTATTGATTCTAGGGTACATAACATAGAGCATCAGGGGTTTTCATGGGGTATAGAGGACATAGCGTATATTGGCTAATATAGGGTAACTGTAGCGCCGTGAGTCTAAGTTGCACAGTCTAAGGTGCTCATTGAGAGTGTAGCGAGCTTCTCTTCAAGATTTGCCCGTTAAAGAACCTTGCGAGACTATTGGGAGTGATGGGGCCTTCGCTCAGGGCAGCTTCAGGGGTGCGAGCGGTGGAAAGCGCTGGGAAGTGTTGGGGGAGGTGGGGGGGGGGTGGGGGGTGGTGGCGGGGGGTTGTGGGGTGGGTGCAGGGGGCTGGTGAGGAGGGCAATCGCTCTGCGCTTGGGTATACAAGGTATATAGAGTATATGGATGTATTTGGAGTTTTTTCCAATATCTGGGGTTTATATAAGTTTACATAAGGCATAGAGGGCATACAAGGTGTGAAAGGTAGGTGGGGTGTATAGTTTATGGGGTATGTGTTTTGGATGTCGTGCAAAATATGGGTACGTAGAATAGTACGGGACATACAGTATATAGGGTACATAGGGTATACAAGGATGTCGCGTGTGTATGAATCAACAAGATGGTCAGATGGAAAAGAAGAAGAGGCATGGGGAAGGGGAAGCGGGGGAGGGAAGAGGAGGAGAGATCAAAAGGGGGCCCGGGGCGTCATCGCCACTATTTTTGCTTGACTTGGAATAGCTACCTTTGAAATCCACGTTGGCTTTCGTTGACCTCGACGTAGCCCTCCAGTTATCCAGTAGGAGCGGCCACTGCTTCGAAACAGGCGTGCGGCAATGGAAGTGAGGGCAGCGAGCCCCAGCCCCCCTCCGAGCAGGACGCGGGCCTGCATCCAGCCTGTGCCCAGGTCCTTCGCCTTGTGCGCCTAGTTCTTCCTGGCAGTTTTGTTTCTGCATGCTTTTGCTTCCCCCTCTCCCAAGCTCTCCATCTCCGACGATGCACCTAAGCCATCATCAGCAAGTGTCGGAGTCCACAGTCGATGGCTGGCGAAGGAGATGAAGAAAGATTCAATCTCCAAGAAGGCCACGGCACCGATCTTGGGCGTGCCTTGAGATTGCTGTGGCAGTGTCCGTGATACGACAAGCAGTTCCCAAGCCTGTGTCTCTGTTTGCATTTCTGTCTGCTTGTTTTGTTCTCTGTCTCTCTCTCTGCCTCTCTATCTCTTTCTCTCTCTGTCTGTGTGTATGCTGTCGGAAAGGGGATAGGGTGGGAGGGGGGCCGTCTGTTTTTTTGCGTGCTAGCGGTGCAGCCGCGAGCATACTCGAATTGTCTGGATGCTTGGACACGGAGCCACGGAGCCTTTGCATCAAGGCGGCAGAAGAGCGGGAGGCCTTCCTCCAGGCACTGATGCAAGACCGGGCCGAGGCCGGCAGAGGAGCGACGGAGTTTCCCAGCGTGCTTGTAATGTGCAGCGTGTAGACAGCCTCTATGGTGGCATGTTGTAGCTAGTAACGGCTAGTAGCTTGGGCATGCTTGGAAGGCAGACCGCATCGAAATCCAAGCTCGCAAGGAGGCCATGCCAATGCCACGAGCATGAGTTGTAAGGCTGCCGAGAGTTGGCATCTTGCGTGCGTTTGCCTGTGGTCTCTGTGGCGCGGGCGCGTTCCTGAGGCTAAGCGGGCGGAGACACTGCGACGCCTTGAGGTGCAGGGGCCGGGATCTGGGGGATCTCTGGGAATCATGTTGGGCCCGGTTAGTGTAGGGGGGCAACCCCCCGCCCCCCCCCCCCCCAACCAATTTTGGGGTTTTCGCGGATCCCCTGGCCAGGGCGGCTGCGGATTAATGCCGGTAACCGAAACAATTGACTAAAAGCGAATCAGGGCAGCTCGTGGGCTTGAAAAATTGTTTGGGGGCCTGTTTCGTAACGAAATTTCAACAGATGTTATATAAAGCCGGACACCAAAAAACTCGGAGTTTATTATTCAAAACAAGTTTTGGTCTTTGGCCCCCCGGCCCCCCGCCATTCATCCCTGGGCCGCGCACTTCGCATAATTGCGGACCACCCTCATCAATGGGCGGAGCCTCCATAATTTTTCCGGAAAAAGGCTGAATAGCGGCCCCTGAAACTAAACCGGGTCCAACATTCGCTGGGGGGCTTTGGCTTTGGGAAGTAGTTTGGGGGATGGCACTGTGTGAAGAAGCGTTGACAGCGGCACCTTCGCCGCTGGTGCATTTTCGCAGGCCACGAACCGTGCCGTTCGAGCCCAATTTGAACAGCTCGTGAGCACCGACGACTTCAAGGAGGCCGGCCTTTTTTTTGTCTGCGAGGCAGCGCAAATCAACAGTCGCAAACGATGTCACAGTGCTTACAGGCCAAAGTCCAGTTTCTGGCCGGAGTGGAGGTGACTCCGGGCAGAGTCGCAGAGAGCATGCTGGCATGTTGGCAAGAGACTTGCAAGTAGCCTGCGCATACATGCAGTAATGTTTTGGTCTTGGCAGTTCTTGGCATGTCCCATTGGCTTGCCTGAAGGAAATTCCAATGGAAGGGCCGCATGCCTGGGGCTAAGCCGCAGCCCACTGCACCATTGGCATCGTGTCACGTTATAGCAGGCTCTGCTTGGTTGTTCGTGAAGCATGAAAGGACAAGAGTTGCTTTGAGAGGTCTGAGGGGGCCGCAACCACAAGCTTTAAACGGGCTGGTGAAGGGAAACGTGCGGGAATATTATCGATTGACTGTCAAGGCCGGATCTGCGGCTGCCTCATCCAATGTGTCCATGACAGGACCGTCCGTTCTCCTGTATAAACAGGTTTTCTCGGAGCACAGTGCCAAACCGACACGAGCTATGACTCTTCCCGCGGAGGACATGTCAAGAAACCCATCTTGAAGGCGAGCTCGGCGGCGACGTTGGACGTTCCTGTGTCCTGTGTCACTACGGCATTGCTTCCGTGCAGCTTGTTGTTAGGGTGCTGGCGAGCGCAAGCACGTGGCCGCCTGCCGTGGGCAAGCTTGCGGGGACGCTCCTTGAATGCACAACTCAACACGAGTCGCATCATGTCGGACGTGCGTCGCAAAATGCTTTCGAGGAAACGCCAAATTCAAATTCTTCTGACGACAGCGCTCGCATCTCAGCCGAGCAGAGCAAGAAGGGAGAAGCAGAGAGAGAGAGAGAGAGCCAACGGAAGAAGAAGAAGAAGAAGAAGAAGAAGAAGAAGAAGAAGAAGAAGAAGAAGAAGAAGAAGAAGAAGAAGAAGAAGAAGAAGAAGAAGAGTCAACGAATATGAGTTTGGCATTGCCGTTGTCTTGCTTCTTCGAGATTGCGAGTGTGCGTCACATGATGCTACGTTATGTGCTTTTGGCAGCTGCAGGTGTACCCTGAGTATGATGGGGACGACGACTTTGTTTGCTTCGAGGAGTGAGCTGGAGCGAGCGCGAAGCAAATGGTGAGCTACAGCAATGCTACATACTGCTACAGATGGTAGGCAAGAAGGCTGCAACTGGACTTGCGCACCCGCGTCTCGCAACGGTTTCACTGAAGACCCTCTGTTTTCGTTTCATATCGTTTCCACTGAATGGCCTGCCGAGCTGGTGGCAACAAAAGGCGCCGTCCTCCGGTGAGAATACAACTGGTCCATGGTCGTTTCATAACGCGCTGCTTGCGCAGAAGGCGTTGAGGTTTGTCTGCGCTCAGCCGTCTCAAGTTGAATTTCTCAAAACCGGCACACAAGTGCAGTGCCTGCAACGCTCAAAGGTTTGGCTCAAACCCTTGCGTCACTGGAATTGTTGGCAACAACATCCCACGACCATGAGCGACCTAAATCCTCCGTTCACCCAGCTTTTCGACATTCAGGCTCCAGCAGTAGCTGCTACATCTGCGTCACAATGATCGAGCCATGGTCCGTGGCGTTGTCCACTTCAGCCACAAGTGTTGCACCTTAAGCAGGAGACTCGCGAAGAAGACACCTGTGACTGGACACATGTTTCTCTCACCGTCTCCGAAGGCGAAACGTGTTTTTTGTTGGTGGCTTTGCCAGAACCGAAGAAAGTCGGCACGTTCTGAGGCGAAGCGGGCGGAGACCCTCCAGTGCAATGGGCGGATCGCTGTGTGAAGACCCGCGTCATCTCGGGGAACATCTCGGGCCTTTGGTTCGGATGGCCGGCGGCCTGGCGGTGCCTCGGAGTCACCTCGACTGCGGCCATGAACCGGACTTTGGCTTCATCACGCCTTTCAAACTGCGCCCGAGCCGCTCCATCCGCACGCCGCACGCACGGCGCGGTTCGCGCACAGGTTGAAAAGCGTGAATCGTTAACGGCCTCTGGTGTTTGGAATTGCGGTTACCCACAAGAATCTCACAAGAGAGGGCTGCAGCCTGCCGGCATGCCGTACTGCTGGAATGCCTGGGAGCATGGCCTTCGCGACCCAAGTCCACGGAAGGCCACGTTGTTCCAACGGAACTGAGTTGGATCAGAGCAAGCATGTTCAGTTGTTGCCAATTGAAATTGGGGAATGAACATTGACATGGATGAATGATAGCTGGGGCAGTCTGTGGCATCAAGCCCCTTTCGGTTTACTTCAGGTGTCCAAGCTTCTGGCACGCGCTGGAGCCCCCTCTGACTATCCCTGGCCCAACATCAAAGACCGAAAGCCTGGCCCCCGCCTGAACCTGTAAAATGTTCTACAACCCCTAAAATGCCCTAAAACCTTCTACAACCCGGGAACATGCAGGTGCTCTGCTCAGATCTTCAGGCATCTCGTGGAGAAGGCGGCAGTGAAAAGTACTCGTACAGTCAGTAGTTCAAACCCCAAACGGTTTTAAGCCCAGTATATGCATCACACCAGAAGGTCCATGGTGGTGCCATGTGGCTTTCCCAAGCCTTCAATAGCCCGATCATTCGGGAATTCGGATTATTTGAGCGCAGGGATCTTCCAGGGCCTCTTTGCGTGTGGGACTTTGGACACGCCCAGGGTTGTTTTCTGCTTCTAAACCTAGTAGGATTCAGTAAGGGACCTCCACAAGGGACCCGCAAGGCCCCAGTTTTGTAGCAATATGTCAAACTCTCCCCAACCTCGCAACAATTCCCAGCTTCCGGCCCCCCAATCCGCTGCGAAAGTGGAGGTTCAGGGCTTTAGGGTTGCGTTAGTTATTGGGGTCCAAGGCTTTCGGGTGTTTGGGGCCTTTTTTTGAATCACACACTGGCAATTCCCCAATGCCAAATGTGGCTTGGATCACCTCGTACAATAGGGGCCTTTCACGCAGAAGATTGCTGCCAGCGCTTGATGCCAAGAAGTCTAACGAGGCAGAATGAGGCAGATGTGATCGCTTTCGTGTTTACGTTGACTGTGACAGGCTTGCGCCATCTGAGATGCAAGAGGAAGCGGCAAAGCGCGCGGATGCAGTTTGAGGAGAGTCAGAAAGAAAAGAGGGCCACTGCCAGATGCCAACCTTATAAGTTCGGGAGAGGGATTCTGGAAGTGTCCAGGCAGCTGGCGCTCGGGCCATAGCATGAACCTCCCTGCAGCGTCCAAGATCAGGGTTTAGACTTTGAGCTGATTGTGCAGCTCATCGCAAAGCGATGGGCGCCACACAGCCCCTTGATCACGCACTCAGATGCTGTGTCTGGTCCGTGTGTTGTCGGCTACATGACTGGTGCTTTTGCATGCCCGTAGACATCGGTAGGCTGATGGCATCTGACGATAGACCCTAAGGTGCGCGTTTTGCTGTGTCGGACGCGACAAGGACGGAGTCCGGACGCAGTGCTTCGCGGGTGCACGCGTGTTCCATGTCAGCAAACATCGTGGCAGGGCCCTGGCCCTGATGCCGCTCCCCTGCTGCAAGGCAGGCGTCTCCCGCAGCTTTGGCGTGCGGAACGTGTGCCTTCGCAAGTTGTCATATGCAGGCGGCTTGCCGGACCTCCTGACAGGGCGGAGGTCCCAGGCCGGATCTGAAAATGATGTTATAGTTAAGAGGTTCTTACAGCCACAGACTGAGATCGTGAAAAATAATTAATTTGTCATTTTGGGGTAGTTCTGGTAGCCTGGTGCATTATCGTTATTTTATCATTTTTTCATATTGTTAGCATTTGGGGCCCGAGGGTTCCGGGTAGCTCCCGTCAAAATTTAAAAAATGATAAAAAATGATAAGAAAATAAAAAGGCTTCGCGTTTTGGCGTCTCCGGAGCCTCCGGAGAGCTTCCGGGAGGCCCGGGACCCTCGGGCAGCTCCCGCAAAATGAAAAAAAATGATAAAAAATTGACAAAAAATGATAAAAAAATGATAAAAAAATGAAAAAAACTTCGCGTTTTGGCGTCTCCGGAGCCTCCGGAGAGCTTCCGGGAGGCCCGGGACCCTCGGGCAGCTCCCGCAAAATGAAAAAAAATTACAAACAAATGACAAAAAATGATAAACAAATGATAAAAAATGAAAAGGCTTCGCGTTTTGGCGTCTCCGGAGCCTCCGGAGAGCTTCCGGGAGGCCCGGGACCCTCGGGCAGCTCCCGCAAAATGAAAAAAAAATGATAAAAAAATGACACAAAAATGATAAAAAAATGATAAACAAATGATAAAAAAAGAAAAGGCTTCGCGTTTTGGCGTCTCCGGAGCCTCCGGAGAGCTTCTGGGAGGCCCGGGACCCTCGGGCAGCTCCCGCAAAATGAAAAAAAATGATAAAAAATGACAAAAAAATGATAAAAAAATGATAAAAAATGAAAAGGCTTCGCGTTTTGGCGTCCGCGGAGCCTCCGGAGAGCTTCCGGGAGGCCCGGGACCCTCGGGCAGCTCCCGCAAAATGAAAAAAAAATGATAAACAATGACAAAAAAGTGATAAAAAAAATGATAAAAAAAAGCGATAGTGCAGAATGACCAGAAAGTTGGAAATGATAAACATAATGAAGACGGAATGAAGGAAAAATGACTAATTAAATATTTCTGGAATTCCAATCTGTGGCTCGGCAAGATTCTCTTAATGTTATAGCCGTTTCTGCATGCTGCTTGCGTGAGTTATTGTGAGCGCCACCGATCTCCGATGAGATCCGCTGACTCGCGAGCCAAGCAGCTAAGCCAAAACCCGAAAAAACACCCCTCCAGGGCCTGGAGGGCAAAGAGGAGAAAAGCAAGGAGGCGCGGACTGACAGCGGATCGGACGCAGCTTACGCCACTAGCAGGAAAGGCCCTGTAAGGCGGGATGCTGCCGGGGTGGCCTCGTCATATCGCTGGGCGCACTTGAAAGCAATCACCAGAGCTAGCGCAGCTCGGCTTGAGCTTAGTTTCTGCTTTAGCAGAGGGCAACCGGTCGAACCGCACTTTAATTGATGATTTCGGGAAAACAGAGGTGGGCGGGGGGGGGGGGAGTATTGATTCTAGGGTACATAGCATCGAGCATCAGGGGTTTTCATGGCGTAGAATTAGAGGACATAGCATATGTAGGCGAATATAGGGTAACTATAGCGCCGTGAGTCTAAGTTGCACAGTCTAAGGTGCTCTTTGAGAGTTTAGCGAGCTTCTCTTCAAGAGAATATGACGGTATATACTGTATACAGGGTACATAGGGTACACGAGGATGTCGCGTACGTGCGTGTGTGAATCAACAAGATGCTCAGATGGAAAAGAAGAGGAGGAATGGGGAAGGGGAAGCGGGGGAGGGAAGAGGAGAAGAGATCAAAAGGGGCCCCGGGGCATCATCGCCGCTAGGTTTGCTTGTCCTGGAATAGCTACCTTTGAAATCCACGTTGGCTTTCGTTGACCTCGACGTAGCCCTGAAGTTATCCAGTAGGAGCGGCCACTGCTTCGAAACAGGCGTGCGGCAATGGAAGTGAGGGCAGCGAGCCCCAGCCCCCCTCCGAGCAGGACGCGGGCCTGCATCCAGCCTGTGCCCAGGTCCTTCGCCTTGTGCGCCTAGTTCTTCCTGGCATTTTTGTTTCTGCATGCTTCTGCTTCCCCCTCTCCCAAGCTCTCCATTTCCGACGGTGCGCCTAAGCGATCATGAGCAAGTCTCGGAATGCACAATCGATGGCTGGCGAAGGAGATGAAAAAAGACGACTTCTCCAAGAAGGCCACGGCACCGATCTTGGACTTGCCGATTGCTGTGGCAGTGTCCGTGATACGACCAGCTGTGTCTCTGTTTGCATTTCTGTCTGTCTTTCTGAGTCTCTCTCTCTCTCTCTCTCTCCCTCTCTCTCCCTCTTTCTCTCTCTCTCTCTCTCTCTCGCTCTCTCTCTCTCTCTCTGTCTGTGTGTGTGTGTGTGTTGTCGGAAGGGGGATAGGGAGGGAGGGAGGGGGGCCGTCTTTTTTAGCATCAGTCACAGATGAATGCGCTATTTGGCAGATTTGGGGGACTCATGCGAAGTGTCCACGAAGACTGGTGCATTGATGTCGTCTCGAACTGTCTGAATGCTTGGACACGGAGCTTTTGCATCAAGGCTGCAGAAGAGCGCGAGGCCTTCCTCCAGGCATTGATGCAAGACCGGGCCGAGGCCGGCAGGGGAGCGGCGGAGTTTGCCCAGCGCGCTTAATTAATGTATATCAATGTGCAACGTGTGGACAGTCTCTATGGCGGCATGTTGTAGCTAGTAACGGCTCGTAGCTTGGGCATGCTTGGGAGGCCGACCGCCTCGAAATTGAAGCTCGCAAAGAGGCCATGCCAATGCCACGAGCATGAGTTGTAAGGCTGAGAGTTGGCATCTTGTGCGCGCTTGTCTCTGTAGGGCGGACACGTTCCTGAGGCCAAGCGGGCAGAGACACTGCAGCGCCTCGAGGTACAGGGGCCGGGATCTGGGGGATCTCGGGGATTATCTGGGAGGCTCTTGCTTTGGGAAGTGGTTTGCGACCTCTGGGCGGCCAGGCGTGAAAAAGCGTTGACAGCGGCACCTTCGCCGCTGGTGCATTTTCGCAGGCCACGAACCGTGCCGTTCGAGCACAGTTTGAACTGCTCGTGAGCACCGACGACTTCAAGGAGGCCGGCCTGCCTGTCTCTGAAACAGCACAGATCAACAGTAAGAAAAGATGTCACAGTGCTTACAGGCCAAAGTCCAGTTTCTGGCCGGAGTGGAGGTGACTCCGGGCAGAGTCGCAGAGAGCATGCTGGCATGTTGGCAAGAGACTTGCAAGTAGCCTGCGCATACCCGCAGTAATGTTTTGGCGTCTTGGCAGTTCTTGGCATGTCGCATTGGCTTTCCCTGAAGGAAATTCCGATGGAAGGGCCACTTGCCTGGGGCTAAGCCGCGGGTTTCGTGAAGCATGAGAGCACAAGAGTTGCTTGAGAGGTTTGAGGGGGCCCCAACCACAAGGTAAAGGGCTGCCGAAGAGAAAAAATGCGGGGATTGTCGACGAGTATCGATTGACTGTCAAGGCCGGATCTGCGCCTTCCTCATCCAATTTGTCCATGACAGGACCGTCCGTGTATAAACAGGTTTTCTCGGAAAGAGGTGCCAAACCTACACGAGTTATGATTCTTCCCGCGCAGGAGTTGTCCAGAAACCCATTTTGAAGGCGAGCTCGGCGGCGCCGTTGGACGTTTCGGTGTCCTGTGTCACTACGGCATTGCTACCGTGCAGCTCATTGTTAGGGTGCTGGCGAGCGCAAGCACACGGCCGCCTGCCGCGGGCAAGCTTGCGGGGACGCTCCTTGAATGCACAACTCAACACGAGTCGCATCATGTCCGGCGTACGTCGCAAAACGCTTCCGAGGAAACGCCAAATTCAAGTTCCTCTGACGACAGCGTGCACATCTCAGCCGAGCAGAGCAGCAGAGAGAGGGAGAGAGAGAGAGAGAGCCAACGGCAGAAGAAGAAGAAGAAGAGAGCCAAAGAATATGATTTTGGCATCGCAGTTGTCTTGCTGCTTCGAGTTTGCGAGGGTGCGTCACATGATGCTACGTTATGTGAGTTATGTGCTTTTGGCAGCTGCAGGTGTACCCTGAGTATGATGGGGGCGAGGACTTTGTATGCTTCGAAGAGTGAGCTGGAGTGAGCTCGAAGCACATGGTGAGCTACACCAATGCTACACAATGCTACAGATGGTAAGCAAGAAGGCAGCAACTGGACTTGCGCACGCGCGTCTCGCAACGGTTTCACTGAAGACCCTCTGTTTTCGTTTCATATCGTTTCCACTGAATGGCCTGCCGAGCTGGTGGCAACAAAAGGCGCCGTCCTCCGCGAGAATACAACTGGTCCATGGTCGTTTCATAACGCGCTGCTCGCGCAGAAGACGGTGATGTTTGTCTGCACTCATGCTGTCTCAAGTTGAACCTCTCAAAACCGGCACACAGGTGCAGTGCCTGCAACGCTCAAAGGCTTGGCTCAAAGCATGCGTCATTGGAAATGTTGGCAACAGCATCCAACGACCAGCCGCGACGTAAATCCTCCGTTTCAACCAACAGCTCGCGCATCTTCAGACTCCAGCAGATCCAGCAGTAGCTGCTACATCTGCGTCACAATGATCGAGCCATGGTCCGGGGCGTTGTCCACTTCAGCCACAAGTGAAGGCAAGCGACTCGCGAAGAAGACGCCTCTGACACATCTTCCTCTCACCGTTTCCGAAGGCAAAACACATTTTTTGTGGGTCGCCTTGCCAGAACCGAAGAAAGTCGGCACGTTTTGAGGCGTCCAGTGCAATGGGCGGATCGCTGTGTGAAGACCCGCGTCATCTCTGGGAACATTTCGGGTCTCTGGCTTTAGCAGTGGTTCGGATGGCCGGCGGCCTGGCGGTGCTTCGGAGTCACCCCGACTGCCGTGAACTGAACTTTGGCCTTCGCACGCCTTCGCGATCTTTTCAAACTGTGCTCGAACCGCGACGCTCGAATGGCGCGGTTCGCGCACAGGTTGAAAAGCGTGACGGCCGCTGGTATTGGGGGTTACTCACAGAGTCACAAGAGAAGCTCTTGAATTTTTAGTCGTAAGCGAAGCCATGCGAAGCCCATCGGAGCAGACTGTGGAGGCATCAGTGTCGAGAAGAGAGAAAGGATTTTCAATCAGTCCAACTGCGCATGTTCACATCAGGTCAGCGTCTGCTTGAGCTTAAGTGCCTTCAGGTAGCAGCACAGTCGTGAGCTGCCCTGCGAGCCATCCCTCGTGCACTGGCAGCCTTCCGGGGCGGCGCTTGAAACTTCTTGCTGGAACTTGCATAAACAAAGCGACAGGTGCGCATGAGATTCTCCTCCCTGACGCAGCCTACACATCCTTTGAGACAGGCAGACCGGCCCCTAAGAGGTCGAAAGGAACTCGGATGGTGATGAGCCGTGGAAACATGCTACTTGGGCACACTGTGGTTGCAGCGTCCGCAGAACTTCCTCGGCGGACCATCCTTGAACAATCCTAAACAGTGCCGTTGCAGTGTTGCCTTATCTTGGATCTGTACAGCTGGAGAACGGCGCTTCAAAGCACGACGCGCGAAGAACAAAGTGCCAAGAGCAGTTCTAGCGAGTCGATCCCGAACGATCCAACACAGTCCTGAACGGTCATAGTTGTTCTGGATCTCAATGTACGTCGTGGATGCATCGAAGACTACTTTACAGCGAGGGCACCTCGGCCGAGGTGGATTTGGGACTGTGTGCAGGGTCGAGCCCACTGGATGTGCCAGACATTGCAGACAAGAGCGAACGGTCGGGGAGCCTCGCACTGTCTGCGAGAGCGCCTGTCCAGTGCTTATCGACAAGAAGTTCGCAGAGCAGCATTGCTTGCAGATCTTGGGCAAACCCTTCCCTCCCCTTTCCCCCGCCCGATGAGGCTCGCCCCAAGTCCCACTTCCTCCCTCTGCTGCGGCCTGGTCACAGCCTGATGGACCAGGCCAGGCAAGCAGAACGGTCAACTGAGAGTCATTGTTCCATGACGTCCATGACTGCGCAATGTGGCCATCCTAAGCCTTGTTAAGCCCTAAACCCGAGAATTCGGGAATCCAGATTATTTAAGTATGGGACCTCCGAAAGGGACCGTCAGGGCCTCCCAGTCTTGCAATATGTCTAACACGTCCCCAAGTCCCACGGATTTCCCCAGCATCCCCCAGCTTCGGCCCCCCCGATCCAAGGGTTTAGGGTTTAGGGTTCAGGGCTTGAGGGTTGCGTTCGTTATTGGTGTCCAAGGCTTGTTTTGGGTCCAAGGCTGTCGTGTGTCTAGGGCCTTTACTTGAATGGCGCAGCCCCAATGCCAAATGGATAATGGATGATCTCTGTTGCAACAAAGGGCTGTCACTCAGAAGATTGCTTCCAGCGCGGGTGCCAAGGACACAAGCGCAAGCTCTATTGTAAGTAGGTTGCAAGTTGTTGGGACAGTTGTCGGTGTTGGCTTGAACCTCACACGCGCCACGAGACTCCCAGAAGGCCTGTAGCAGCCACGGCATGCAAAAGATGTCCGCAGGTCTCAGGAGGCAGAATGAGACAGTTGTGATCGCACTTGCGTGTTTACGTTGACGGTGACAGGCTTTGCGCCATCTGAGATGCAAGAGGAAGCGGCAAAGCGCACAATGCAGCTTGATGAGGGAGAAAAAGGACCACTGCCAGACGCCGACCTTAAGTTCGGGAGAGGGTTTCTTGAAGTGTCCAGGCAGTTGTCGCTCGGACCATAGCGTGAACCTCCTGCAGCGTCCGGCTCACAGAGCTTAGAATTTGAGCTGCCTGCCGAGCTCATCGTTAAGCGATGGGCGCGACACAGCCACTTGATCACGCAGTCAGATGCTGTGTCTGGTCCGTGTGTTGTCGGGTACAGGACTGGTGCTTTGCATGCTCGCATGATCTCGCATTGGCTGCAGACATCGGAAAGCTGCTGGCATCTGACGATGGACCCTGAGGTGTGGCTTCTGCTGCTTGGGCCGCGACAAGGACGGAGTCCGGACGCAGTGCTTGGCGGGTGCACGCGCGTGTCACGTGAGCAATCATTGCGGCAGGGCCCTGATGGCCAGCAGCCCCTAGGCAGGCAGCTGTGGCTGCTTTGGCACGGGAAGAGCGTGCCGTCCCATGTTGTCACCTACAGGCCTCCCGGACTTGCTGACCAAGCGCAGGTCCGAGACTTCCCAGGCCAGCCCGGATGTGAGACACTTAAGCCTTACGTGAGACGTCATGATGCTGCACGCGTAAGCTGCTGCGATCGGCAGCGCTTTCCGATGAGATCTGTTCACTCGCAAGCCACGCAGCTAAACCATATTCTCGTCAACACCCCTCCCAGGGCAGCCCAGAGGAGAAAGTGGAGAAGAGTAAGGAGGCGCACACTGGCAACGGATCGGACGCTTCAGGTGTACTTGTGATGAGCGTGGCTGGGTGCACTTGAGAGTATCGAGAAGGAGCAGACTTTGCATCAAGACAGGTGTGCGGCAATGGAAGCGAGGGCAGCGAGCCCCAGCCCGCCTCACAGCAGGACGCGGGCATGCATCCAGCCTCTGTCGAGGTCCCTCGCCATGTGGTGAGCTTGAGTTACAGTTTTGTTTTTGCATGATTTTGAAATCACAACCCCTCTCCCGCGATCTCCATCTCCGACGATGCTCCCAATAAGCGATCATCCACAAGTTTCGGAATCCACAATGAAGGAGATGAAGAAAGATGACATCTCCAAGAAGGCAACGGCACTGATCTTGGACATGCCGTGAGATTGCTGTGGCAATGTCCGTGACATGACACGCAGGCCGTCCCAAGCCTTTGTCTCTGTATGTTTTTTCTGTTTGTCTCTGGTTCTATGTCTGTGTCTGCTCTTTGTGTTTCTGTTGGAAAGAGGGAGGGCGGAGGTCCGTCTTTTTTCATATGCCAGCGGGCAGTGCAGCCTTGAGCATCAGTTCGCGGATGAACGCGCTGTTTTGCAGAGTTTTTTTTTGAAGACTCACGAAGGGTCCACGAGCGCATGATACAGTGTCATCTCATACTGTCTGGACGCTTGGACATGGAGCTTTTGCTCCAAGGCCGCAGAAGAGCGGGAGGCTTTCCTCCAAGCTCTGATGCGTGACCGTGCCGAGGTGCCAGGGCGGATTCGTAGAGCATTGTCCAGCCCCAGCGCGCTCAATGCGACGTGTAGGCTAGAGGAGCTTGAGCATGCTTGGAAGGCAGATCGTGCCGAGGTGGAAGCCCAAAAGGAGGCCGTGCCGATCATGATTGAGTTGTAAGGCTGCCGAGAGTTGGCATCTTGGTCTCTGGCGCGCGCACATCCTGAGGCCAAGCGGGCGGCGATCCTCCGGCGACTTGAGGCACAGGGGCCGGGGATCCGGGGAGGGGATCGTTGGGAACAGCTGGGGGGTCTCTGGCTGGAACTGGTTTCGTGGAGGAGCGTTGACAGCGGCACCTTCGCAGGCCACGAACCGCGGCATCCGAGCGCAGTTTGAGAAGATTGCGAGCGCCGCGGACTTCAAGGAGGCCGGCCTGCGAGGCAGCATTGATCGAGGTAGTTGCGAACATGTCGCAGTGCTTACAGGCCAAAGTGCAGTTCGTGCCCGCAGTGGAGGTGACTCCGGGCAGAGAGCATGTTGGCAAGAGACTCGCGCAAGTAGCCTGCACATACCCTCAGTAATGTCTTGGCCTCTTGGCAGTTCTTGGCATCTGCCCGTGGCTTGCCCCGAAGGAAATTCCAATGGAAGCACCGCTTGCCTGGGGCTAAGCCGCACCATTGGCCTCGCATCTCGTTAACTGCCTCTGGTTTGCTGGGTTGTTCATGATGTGAGAGGTCAGGGGCTGGTTGGGAGGTTTCAGTGGGCCGCAACCACAAGCCTGAGGAGAGTGTTAATTGACTGCCGAGGCCCCATGTGCGCCTGCCTCATCCGATTCGTCCGCGACAGGACCGTCCGTTCTCGTTGCCTGGGGAAAGCTTTCGAGTTTTATGCAACAATCCGAAGTAGACAAGCTCAAGCTTCCACCGCAAGGTGAACCGGATGTTCTTATTTAAGGGACAGGCTGGAGGCTGAAGCACACCCCGCACATCCCCAGCACCCTCATACACCGCCAACCCGGGGGATCTCGAGGACGTCGCCGATTCTGGCATGGACCCTCTCACGTGTTTTGCTTTCTTCTTGGCTTCCCCCGGCCTCAGAGGATCCCCAACCAAAAAAACACGAGAGAACCGGTTTCAAGCCCCCACATCCTACACTGTGACAAGCAAAGTGCAGGCGGCGAAGTCATCGCGACGGCTTCTTTGTGGAGTCCGATTAGTCCGAACAAAGTGTGGCAAGTTTGCTCCTGTGTTCCTATAACCCCCTTTCGAAGAATAGTAAACGGCCTCTCTGCCCCCTTTCCTCTCAGAGTGCAAACCGACACGAGTCATGGCTCTTGCCGCGGAGGAGTCGTCAAGAAACTGCCGCAGAAACCCATTTTGAAGGCGAGCTGGGCGGCGGCGTTGGATGTTCCAGTGCCCTGTGTCACTGCGACCTGCTTCCGCGTAGCTTGTTAGGGTGCTGGTGAGCGCAAGCACTTGGCTCCCTGCCGTGGGCAAGTCCGCGGGGACGCAACTTGAATGCACAACTCAGCACGAGTCAGGACTGCATGAGCCGCTGTGTTGTTTCAACCTTCGAGGAATCTCCAACAAATTCCTCTGATGACAGCGCGCGCATCTCAGTCAAGCAGAGCCCGTGTCACATGACTGCATTCCGACTTTGTGTGCTTTTGGCAGCTCTAGGTGTACCCCGATTATGATGGGGACGACGACGGAGTGTGTTTTGAAGAGTGAACTCAAAGAAGATCTCGAACACACTGCTCAAAGTCTCAAAGTGCACCCGGTGAGCTACAGCAAAGCTCACTGGGCATGCCGCGTTGTCTCACTGTGGAAGGCACTTGCGCACTTTCATGCGCTTGCATTAGGCGCCTGGCAAAGTATGGTGGTTACACACCTGCCTTTCTTGGCACAGCTTCAAAAGCTAGTCTGACACGGCATCACTGCTGTCCCCGGTTGGACCCTCGACCGTGTGTGAGGGAAGCCCCTCCTGCAATGCTGCGAAGGTTTGGCTCAAAATGGCGCCAAGCATGAGTCGGCGGCTGACAATTTCAAGCGACGCTTCACGCATCTTCACATCAATATCACAATTTATCGAGCCATAGTGGCAGCTTTGTCCACAGTTTCAGCCGCGATACCAGGCGATACATTGCAATACCTGCACTTCGGCAAGAGACTTCCGCTCGTACGTACTGTACCAGGTCTTGACATGTCCAATGGCTCGGCGCATGTGAGCAGCTGCGGTTCAATTCGTCAATGCCTGTGGTCTGGGGGTCTGGGAGGCGGCAAACGGTTTAGCATAGAAGCACAGTCGAGGTCCAATGTCTGCACATGCATCACCTTCGCGGTCCATTCTCCTTTCGTGGGACAGGGCTGTAAGCAATGCAAAGCGATCTGTGCCCACGCATCAACCTGCAACCTGAAAGCCCGTTTGGGCTTGAGGGCTTGCCACATACATTCGTCGCTTGGTAATGACAGGGGTGCAAGTGGACAAGCTAGGACAAGCTCAGCTACTTGTAGGTCATATTCGGCCAGATGCTCAAAGGCCTCCAGTCCAGCCAGAAGCAGAACATGCACTTTGATTGATGACTTCGGGAAAACGGGAGGGGGGCCGGTCAGTACTGAGTTTCTCAATCGTTGGGCGGGGTCGAATATCTACCAGGGTTCTCACAGGGTATGTAGAGTACGTAGCGTATATACCATAGCGCCCTTTGGGACTTTAACGAGACTCTCTGCAAGATTCTTGAGTGGAGCCCGTTCAAGAATCTTACGAGAGAAGCCGGAGGTGATGGGCCTCAGTGTCTCAGGGCTGCGCGCGGTGGAAAGCGTTGATGGTGGAGGTGATCAGGAAAGCGTAGTGGGAGGGAGAGGGGTTACAGTGGTGAGGGGTGGTGAGGGTAATGGGGGCTGGGTGGGAGCACGAGGCGGTGGTAGAGCAGGGTATGGGAGTGTAGGGCTGCTCGGGCGGTGCGAGAGTGGAGGTGTGAGGCTGCAGTGATTTTCAACGCCCCAAGAAGGCGGTGGAGGTGCATGTTGAGATAGTGCCGATGGTGGGAGAAGTAAGAGCGGTGTGGGCAGAGGTGATGGTGTTGCGCAGCAGCCTTGTAAAGAACCCGACGAGAGTGGCGGAGGGGGCGGATCTCAGGGAGGCGGTTGGGGGTGCTGCGGCTGGGTCTGGTGGTGGGGTGTGTAACATTGTGTAAATATGCAGTGTCGATAAGGTAGAGTTAAGGTGGGGGTGCTGCGGCTGGGTCTGGGGGCGCGGAGGTCTCCAAGAAGGCCACAGCACCGATCTTAGACGTCTGTTTTTTCGTCTGTCTCAGTCAGTATGTGTGTGTGCACGCTCTGGAAGGAAGGTATATGTGTAAGAGCGGGCCGTCCTATTTTTCATACGCTAGTGGGCGGTGCAGGCGCGAGCATCAGGTCGCAGATGAACGCCCTATTTTGTGGAGTTTTATGTTTTGTGTCTGGATGCTTGCGCGCAGAGTTTTTTTGCATCAAGGCAGCAGAAGAGCCGGAGGCTTTCCTCCAGGCGCTGATGCAGGACTGGGCCGAGACCGTCAGGGGAGCGGCAAAGCTTTCCCAGCGCGCTCAATGCTCACTGTGTAGACTGTCTCCAGGGTGGCAGTAGCTAGTCGCTTGGGCATGCTTGGAAGGTAGACCGCCTCGAGATCGAAGCTTGCAAGGAGGCCATGCCAATACCACGATCATGAGTTGTACTGTAAGGCTGCTGAGAGTTGGCATCTTGCGTGCGCTGGCGGGCGCGCGCTCGCTCGCGCGCGCGCGCGCGCGCGCGCGCGCGCGCGCGCGCGCGCATCCCAGGCGGCGACCCTCCGGCGCCTTGAGGTGCAGGGGCCGGGGCGCTGAGGGGGGATCTCTAGCAACATCTGGGGGGCGCTGGCTTGGGGAAGTGGTTTGCGACGGCTGGACGGCCTGGCGTTGCGTGGAGGAGCGTTGGCAACGACACCTTCGCAGCTGGTGCACATCCGCAGGCCACGAACCGCAGCGTTCGAGCCCGGTTTGAACAGATCGTGACTCGCGGTCGCGATCTGGTCGAATTGCGCTCGAACGCTGTGGTTCGTGGCCTGCGAATGTGCAGTTCCTGGGCGCAGTGGAGGCCCGCACATACCCGCACTACGACTTGGTCTTGGCAGTTCTTGGCATGTCCCATTGGCTGGCCCCGAAGGAAATTCCAATGGAAGGACCGCTTGCCTGGGGCTAAGCCGCAGCCCACTGCATCATTGCATATCAGTGCCCTCGTGTCTCGTCGTAGCAGCTCCTGGATTCTTGGTTGTCCGTGAAGCATGAGAGGACAGGGGGTTTGCTTGACGTCTCAGTGGGCCGTAAAGATTTTCAAAGGACGGCCGGAGGGGAAGATGTGGGGATCCATTGAACCGAGGCCCCTGCCGTTAAGTTTATAAGTCTAGCTTCGCGTCTGCTCGAGCTTGTGCGTGAGGTATCGGCGCAGTCGCGAGCTGCCCTTTGAGCCATCCCTCGTGCACTGGCGGCCTTCCCGGCTGCACTTGAAATGTCATTCTTGCTGGAACTTACATGCCAAATGTGGCTTGGATCACCTCTCTCGTAGAATAGGGGGCTTTCACTCCGAAGATTGCTTCCAGCGCGTGATGCCAAGGACCTAGCCGCAAGCAAGCACTCTCATAAGGTTGCAAGTTGTTGGGTCAGTTGGCGGTGTTGGCCTGAACCTCACGCGCGCCATGAGACTCCCAGAAGGCCTGTAGCAGCCGCGGCATGCAACAGATGTTTGAAAGTCTAAGGAGGCCGAATGAGGCAGATGTGATCACTTTCGTTTTTTAAGTTGGCCGTGGCAGGCTTTGCGCTGTCTGAGATGCCAGATGAAGCGGAAACGGGCGGGATGCAGCTTGAGGAGGCAGAAAGAGGGCCACTGCCAGATGCCAACCTTAAGTTCGGGAGAGGGTTTCTGGAAGTGTCCAGGCAGTTGGCACTCGCACCATAGCATGAACCTCCCTGCAGCATCCAAGCTCAAAGGGTTTAGACTTTGAGCTGATTTGTGCAGCTGATCGCAAAGCGATGGGCGCCACACAGCCACTTGATCACGCACTCAGATGCCGTGTCTGGTCCGTGCATCGTCGGGTCCAAGACTGGTGCTTTGCATGCTCGTAGACATCGGTAGGCTGATGGCATGTGACGATAGACCCTAAGGTGCGCGTTTTGCTGTGTCGGACGCGACAAGGACGGAGTCCGGGCGCAGTGCTTCGCGGGTGCAAGCGTGTTCCATGTCAGCAACATCGTGGCAGGGCCCTGATGCCGCTGCCCTGACGCAAGGCAGGCGTCTTCCGCAGCTTTGGCGTGCGGAACGTGTGCCTTCGCAAGTTGTCATACGCAGGCGGCTTGCCGGACCTCCTGACAGGGCGGAGGTCCCAGGCCGGATCTGAAAAATAATGTTGCCGTTTGGGACTGCATGCTGCTTGCGTGAGCTATTGCGAGCGGCAGCGACCTCGAATGAGATCCGCTGACTCGCGAGCCAAGCAGCCAAGCCCAAACCCGTAAACACCCCTCCAGCGTCTGCAGGGCAAAGAGGAGAAGAACAAGGAGGCGCGGACTGGCAGCGGATCGGACGCAGCTTTCGCTACTAGCAGGAAAGGCCCGGTAAGGCGTGATGCTGCCTCGTCATATCGCTGGGCGCACTTGAAAACAGTCACCAAAGCCAGCGTAGCTCGGTTTGAGCCTAGTTTCTGCTTTAGCAGCAGGGGAGCCGGTCGAACCTCGCAGGAGTGCACTTCAATGGATGATTTCGGGGGGGAGTATTGATTTTGGGTAGGGTTTTCATGGTGTATAGAGGACACAGCGCATGCAGGCTAATGTGGGGTCACTTCGCGCCGTGAATCTAAGGTGCTCTTTGAGACTTTAGCGAGATTCTCTTCAAGATTTGCCCGTTGAAGTACCTTGCGAGACTAGTGGGAGTGATGGGGTCTCAGGGTGCGAGCGGTGGAAAGCGCTGGGAGGTGGTGGGGTTGACGCGGGGTGGTGGCGTGGGTGCAGGCGGCTGGTGAAGAGGGCAATGAGGGCGTGGCTCTGCGCTTGGGTATACAAGTTATATAGAGTACATGGATGTGTTTGGAGTTTTTTCCAATATCTGAGGTTTATATAGGTTTACAGAAGGCATAGAGGGCATACAAGGTGTGAAAGGTAGGTGGGGTTTATATAGTGTATGGGGCATGTATTTTGGAGGTGGTGTACAATATGGGTAAGGTGTACAATATGGGTACGTAACATATACGGTATATAAGGTACGCAAGCATGTTGGAGCACATTAAGATATGTAGCGTATATGCGTGCGTGAATCAACAGGATGGTCAGACGGAAAAGAAGAAGAGGAATGGGGAAGGGGAATCGGGGGGAGGGAAGAGGATAAGGAAGACGAGGCAGGAGAGGGTGCGATCGTCAAGAAGAGATCAAAAAGGTTGCCCGAGGGGTCGTCGCCACAGGTTTTGCTTGTCCTGGAATAGCTGCCTTTGTATCGCCTGGAATCCACGGTGGCTTACGTTGACGTAACCCTCAAGTTACTCAAGTCAGTAGGAGCAGCCGCTGCTTCGAAACAGGCGTGCGGCAACGAAAGTGAGGGCAGCGAGCCCCAGCCTGCCTCCGACCAGGACGCGGGCCTGCATCCAGCGCCAAGGTTCTTCGCCTTGTGCGCCTAGTCCTTCTTGGCAGTTTTGTTCCTGCATGCTTATGCTTGAAACCACAAGCCCTCTCCCACGCTCTCCATTTCCGACGGTGCGCCTAAGCGATCATGAGCAAGTCTCGGAATGCACAATCGATGGCTGGCGAAGGAGATGAAGAAAGATGACCTCTTCAAGAAGGCCACGGCACCGATCTTGGACGTGCCATGAGATTGCGGTGGCAGTGTCCGTGCTACGACCAGCTGTGTCTCTGTTTGCATTCTGTCTGTCTTTCTGAGTCTCTGTCTCTCTCTCTCTCTCTCCTCCTCTCTCTTTTTCTCTCTCTTTTTCTCTCTCTCTTTCTCTCTCTCTCTCTCTCGCTCTCTCTGTCTCTCTCCCTCTCTCTCTGTCCGTGTGTGTGCGTGTGCGTGCGTGCGTGGGTGTGGGTGTGGGTGTGGGTGTGGGTGTGGGTGTGTGGGTGTGTGTGTGTGTGTGTGTGAGTGTTGTTGGAAGGGGGATAGGGAGGGAGGGGGGCCGTTTTTTTTCGTGTGCCAGCGGGCGGTGCAGCCGCGAGCAGAAGTCTTGGTGAATGCGCTATTTGGCAGAGTTTTATAATTTGGCGGACTCGCACGACACGAAGTGCCCACGACCACTGGTGCATGATGTCGTCTCGAACTGTCTGGATGCTTGGACACGGAGCTTTTGCATCAAGGCTGCAGAAGAGCGCGAGGCCTTCCTCCACGCATTGATGCAAGACCGGGCCGAGGCCGGCAGGGGAGCGGCGGAGTTTGCCCAGCGCGCTTAATGTGCAACGTGTGGACAGTCTCTATGGCGGCATGTTGTAGCTAGTAACTGCTCGTAGCTTGGGCATGCTTGGGAGGCCGACCGCCTCGAAATCGAGGCTCGCAAGGAGGCCATGCCAATGCCACGAGCATGAGTTGTAAGGCTAACGAGAGTTGGCATCTTGCGCTCTGGCCTGTGGTCTCTGGCCTGTGGTCTCTGGAGCGCGGGCACGTTCCTGAGGCCAAGCGGGCGGAGACAATGCGTCGCCTCGAGGTACAGGGGCCAGGATCTGGGGGATCTCCGGGAATATTTGGGAGGCTCTTGCTTTGGGAAGTGGTTTCCGACGGCTGGGCGGCCTGGCGGTGCGTGAAGAAGCGTTGACAGAGGCACCTTCGCAGTTGGTGCACTTTCGCAGGCCACAAACCGTGCCGTTCGAGCACAGTTTGAACTGCTCGTGAGCGCCGCGGACTTCCAGGAGGCCTGCCGGAGTCTGCCAGAGTGTCTGCGAGGCAGCGCTGATCAAGACAGTCGCAAGCAAAGTCGCAGTGTTTACAGGCTAGAGTGCAGTTCGTGGCCAATGTGGAGGCGACTCTGGGCAGAGAGACTCGCAAGTGCTAGTAGCCTGCACTTGTCCACACTACGTCTTGGCGTTTTGGCAGATCTTGGCATGTCCCAGTGGCTGGCCCCGAAGGAAATTCCAATGGAAGGACCGCTGGCCTGGGGCTAAGTCCTGGATTCTTGGCTGTTCGTGAAGCATGAGAGGGCAGGGGGTTTGCTTGAGGTCTCAGTGGGCATACCCAAAATTGCTTAAAGCGGCCGGAGGGGAAGATGCGAGGATTGTCGACAAACATCGATTGTCCGTCGAGGCCCCATCTGCCCCTGCCTCGTCCGCTTCGTCAATGATAGGCCGGTCGGTTCTCATTGCATGGGCACGCTTTCGGATGCAACAGTACGAATCAAGTTAAAGCACCTACACGAGGTGCACACCTCTTGCAACGTCACAGCTTCTTCATGCTTCCACCATAATCTGACATGTGTGAAGTGGATGTTTAAGGGGCCGGACAGATGCTGCTGCACCACGCTCCACACATCCCCACACCCTCGTGCGCCCTCTGTACGAAGCCAGTTCGGGGGAATTTCGAGGACGAGCTTGTCAGCGATTCTGGCACGGGCCAGCGGGCGGTGTATGCAGGGTCCCTGCGCCGCTTGTCGCAGCTGTTGCGTCACGCGAGGTGGGCAACCAGGGGGTGTGTCTGGAATTGGGCCAAGTGCGGCCCAGAAGCTGTGATGCCCCCATGATTGGTTCGGCCAATGTGACAAGGAACGAAAAGGACTCGCAAGGACCCTGTAAGCATTGAAGGTCTTGGAAGACCGAGAAGTTTCCTGAGGCTGTGTAGTTGGCTTCCCTCTGCGACAGGATCCCCAACTTCCCCAACAAAGCACGAGAAACGGGTGGTAAGTCAGAAATGTGGATCCCTGTGGCAAGCAAAGTGCCGGCAGCGACGTCCTTGCGACAGCTACGCGGTTGTTTTTTTAGGAGTAGTGCAAATAGCGCGTCAAGTTTGCTCCATTTTGCTCTTGTGTTTCCCAGAGTCCCCTCAGAACAATAACAAGCAGCCTCTCTGCCCCCTTTCCTCTCGGAGTGCAGTGCCAAACCGACACGAGTGATGGCTCTTCCCGCGGAGGTGCCATCGCGAAGCCCATCTTGAAGGCCAGCTTGGCGCCAACGTGGAACGTTCCTGTGTCCTGCGTCACCAGGGTAATGCTTCCGCACAGCTTGCTAGGGTGCTGGCGACCGCAAGCACGCGGCTGCTTGCCGTGGGCAAGCCTGCGGGGACGCTCCTTGAATGCACGACTCAGCACGAGTTATGACTGAATGAGCTGCTGTGTCGCATCATGTGCGGCGTACCTCGCAAGACACTTTCGAGGAAACTCCAAATTCAGATTCCTCCGATGACAGCGCACACATCTCAGCCGAGCAGAGCAGAGAGAGGGGGAGAGAGTGCGCAGCAGAGAGACAGCGAACATGACTGGGGTTGCTGCTTTCTTGCTGCTTTGAGTTTGCGAGTGTGCGTCACATGATGCTACGTAGGTTTACCCTGACTATGATGGCGAAGATGACTTTGTTTCCTTCGAAGAGTGAGCTGGGGTGAGCTCGAAGCGACCGGTGAGCGACAGCGATGCTACGGTATGGTAGGCAAGAAGGCTGCAACCCGGACTCGCCAGTCCGGGTTGCAGCCTTCTTGCCTACCATACCGTAGCATCGCTGTCGCTCACCGGTTGCTTCGAGCTCACCCCAGCTCACTCTTCAAAACGCGCTGAAGGTCTACCCTGATTATGACGGGGATGACGACGGCCTTGTTTGCTTCGAGTGAGCTCAAAGAAGACACCCGAAGAAGCCGGTGGTGAGCTACAGCAAAGCTCATTAACGCATGCCCGTCGGTCTCACTGCGGAAGACCGTAGTGCACTTTCATGCACTTGTGTCAGGCGCCTGGCAAAGCTCGAGTAGTCTGACGTGGGATCATTGCTGTCTAGGGTTGGACCCTCGACCCTGTGTGAGGGAAGCGCCTCCTGCACGGCTGCAAAGGTTTGGCTCATAGCGTTAGTCGACTGACCCGCCATTTCAACCGGCGCTTCTGTCATCTTCACTCTCTGTTTTCGTTTCATTTCGTTTCCAAATTCCCTGCCGAGCTGGTGGCAACAAAAATTAAAAGGCGGCGATTGTGCAACTCTGACAGGTATGAAGGGGCACCGTGGGCACACGTTTATGCACTTTCATTTGAAGCCTGCCAGAGTGTCTGCGAGGCAGCGCTGTTCAACAGTCGCAATCATGTCGCAGTGCTTACAGGTCCTTGGCTGAAGTAGAAGTGCAGCGAGCATGTTGAGAAAAGACGGGCAAGTAGCCTGTACATTCCCACACTAGTTCTTGGCAGTTCTTGGCATGTCCCAATGGATCGCCCCGAAGGAAATTCAAAATGCACCATGAGGTGCATGGCGTCCGGACTCCGTCTTTGTCGCGTCCAATGCAGCAGAACCCGCAGCTCAGGGTCTATGTGACCCTAAGGTGCGGGCTGTGCTGCCTTGCACGCGAGAAGGACGGAGTCCGGACGCAGTGCTGCGCGGGTGCGTGTGCCATGTCAGCAACATCGTGGCCGGGCCTTGATGCCAAACAGAAGCGCCAGATGGTGACCACAGGCAGGGCAGCTCTGGCAGCTTTGGTGGGTGGGAGAGTGTGCAACGTGTGCCACGTGTGCCTTCGCCAGTTGTCACACGCTGGTGGCCTCCTCCAGACCTGCTCAGGCAGCGCAGGTCCCAGGCCAGCCCGGAAGCGAGAGGCTGCTGGATGCGAAGGAAATTCCGATGGAAGGACCGCTTGCCTGGGGCTAAGCCGCAGCCCACTGCACCGTTGGCCGCGCATCTCGTTAAAGCAGCCTCTGGTTCTTTGGTTGTGGTTCGTGAAGCATGAGAGGACAGGGTTTGCTTGAAAGGTCTGAGTGGGCCGCAACCAGAAGGTGTAAAACTGCGGGCCGGAGGGGAAGATGCGGGATTATCGACAATGTTTCGAATGACTGTCGAGGCCCAATCCGCCCCTCGTCCAACACGTCCATGACAGGCCTGGCCGTGCTATTGACTCTGAAGACCACTCTTCGGATCAGCCACCTCGCTAGCGGATCGCGCGGATCCACATGTAGAGAGAAATCCGTTTTTCCTGCAACCGGACCACATGTGGGCCCTGAAGGATTCCAAAAAATCCTTCAGCCCCCACATGTGGGCCCGGAAGGATTCCAAAAAATCCTTCAGCTCCCGCATGTGGGCCCTGAAGGATTCCAACAAATCCTTCAGGCCCCACATGTGGGCCCTGAAGGATTCCAAAAAACCCTTCAGCCCCCACATGTGGGCCCTGAAGGATTCCAAAAAATCCCTAAGGCCCCAAAAGGATTCCAACAAATCCTTCAGGCTCCACATGCGGGCCCTGAAGGATTCCAAAAAACCCTTCAGCCGCACATGTGGGCCCTGAAGGATTCCAAAAACTCCTTCAGCCCCCACCAGTGGGCCCTGAAGGATTCCAATAAATCCTTCAGGCCCCACATGTGGGCCCTGAAGGATTCCAATAAATCCTTCAGGTCCCACTTGTAGATGATGTTCGACTAGATGCTCAAAGGCTCCCTTCCAGCCAGGAGCAGAAGGTGCACGCCGGTCTGTATTGGAATTTCTCTATCATTGGCCGGGGGGGGGGTAATTGATTATAGGGCACACAGAATATCTATCAGGGTTTTCGCAGGGTATATAGAGTACGTAGCGGATATACCATAGCGCCATCTGGGACTTCAACGAGACTCTCTGCAAGATTCTTGAGTGGAGCCCGTTCAAGAATCCTACAAAAGCAACGGAGGTGATCAGGCCTCGGCTGTCTCAGGGCTGCGAGCGGTGGAAGCGCTAACGGTGGAGGTGGTCAGGAAAACGTAGTGGCAGGGAGAGCGGTTACAGTGGTTAGGGGTGGTGGGGGTGATGGGGGCTGGGTGGGAGCACGGTGAGGCGGTGGTAGAGGTATGGGAGTGTGGGGCTGCTTGGGCGGGGCTGCAGTAGTTTTAAACGTCCTAAGAAGGCGGTGGAGGTGCATGGTGAGATAGTGCCGATGGTGGGAGAGGTGTGGTGGGCTTTGTAAAAATTGTGCAAATATGCAGTGTTGATAGGGCTGGGTTAGGGTGGGGTTGATGCGGCTGGGTCTGGGGGCGCGGAGGGGTGTGAGGAAGCCCTTGTTGCTCTGCTATACCCCCATCAACCCCCCCCCTCCTCCCGCGCTCTTTCCATCTCCGACGATGCGCCTAAGCAATAATCCACAAGTCCTTTCAATCCACTATCAATGGCTCGCGAAGGAGATGAATAAAGATGAAACCTCCAAGAAGGCCACAGCACCGGTCTTAGACGTCTGTTTGTATTTTCGTCTGTCTCAGTCAGTATGTGTGTGTGCTCTGGAATTCAGGATATATGCATAATGGGGAGGGAGGGCGGGCCGTCCTATTTTTCATACGCTATAGTGGGCGGTGCAGGCGCGAGCATCAGGTCACAGATGAACGCCCTATCTTGCAGAGTTTTATGTTTTGTGTCTGGATGCTTGCGCACAGAGTTTTTTTGCATCAAGGCAGCAGAAGAGCCGGAGGCTTTCCTCCAGGCGTTGATGCAGGACTGGGCCGAGGCCGGCAGGGGAGCGGCGGAGTTTTCTCAGCGCGGTGTGGACTGTTTCCAGGGTGGCATGTTGTAGCTAGTCGCTTGGGCATGCTTGGAAGGCAGACCGCCTCGAAATCGAAGCTTGCAAGGAGGCCATGCCAATGCCACGATCATGAGTTGCAAGGCTGCCTATAGAGTCGGCATCTTGCGTGCGCTGGCGGGCGTCGCGCGCGCGCGAGCGCGCGCGCATCCTGAGGCCAAGCAGGCGGCGACCCTCCGGCGCCTTGAGGGGGATCTCTGGCAACATCTGGGGGGCGCTGGCTTGGGGAAGTGGTTTGCGACGGCTGGACGGCCTGGCGTTGCGTGGAGGAGCGTTGGCAGCGGTACCTTCGCAGCTGGTGCACATCCGCAGGCCACGAACCGCAGCGTTCGAACCCGGTCTGAACAGATCGTGACTCGCGGTCGCGATCTGGTCGAATTGCGCTCGAACGCTGCGGTTCGTGGCCTGCGAATGTGCAGTTCCTGGGCGCAGTGGAGGCCCGCACATACCCGCACTACGACTTGGTCTTGGCAGTTCTTGGCATGTCCCAGTGGCTGGTGGATTCTTAGTTGTCCGTGAAGCATGAGAGGAAAGGGGGTTTGCTTGAGGTCTCAGTGGGGCGTAAAGTTTCAAAGGACGGCCGGAGGGGAAGATGTGGGGACTGTCGACAAATATCCATTGACCACCAAACCGAGGCCCCTGCCGTTAAGTTTATACGTCTAGCTTCGTGTCTGCTCGATCTTGGCTTTTGGCAGGTATCGGCGCAGTCGCGAGCTGTTCTTTGAGCCATCCCTCGTGCACTGGCGGCCTTCCCGGCTGCACTTGAAATGTCATTCTTGCTGGAACTTACATGCCAAATGTGGCTTGGATCACCTCTCTCGTAAGATAGGGGGCTTTCACTCCGAAGATTGCTTCCAGCGCGTGATGCCAAGGACACAGCCGCAAGCAAGCACTCTCATAAGGTTGCAAGTTGTTGGGTCAGTTGGCGGTGTTGGCCTGAACCTCACGCGCGCCATGAGACTCCCAGAAGGCCTGTAGCAGCCGCGGCATGCAACAGATGTTTGAAAGTCGAAGGAGGCAGAATGGGGCAGATGTGATCACTTTCGTGTTTTAAGTTGGCCGTGGCAGGCTTTGCGCTGTCTGAGATGCCAGATGAAGCGGAAACGGGCGGGATGCAGCTTGAGGAGGCAGAAAGAGGGCCACTGCCAGATGCCAACCTTAAGTTCGGGAGAGTTTCTGGAAGTGTCCAGGCAGTTGTCACTTGCACCATAACATGAACCTCCCTGCAGCGTCCGAGCTCAAAGGGTTTAGACTTTGAGCTGATTTGTGCAGCTGATCGCAAAGCGATGGGCGCCACACAGCCACTTGATCACGCACTCAGATGCCGTGTTTGGTCCGCGTGTTGTCGGGTCCAAGACTGGTGCTTTGCATGCTCGTAGACATCGGTAGGCTGATGGCATCTGACGATGGACCCTAAGGTGCGCGTTTTGCTGTGTCGGACGCGACAAGGACGGAGTCCGGACGCAGTGCTTCGCGGGTGCACGCGTGTTCCATGTCAGCAACATCCTGGCAGGGGCCTGGCCCTGATGCCATTCCCCTGCCGCAAGGCAGGTGGCTTCCGCAGCTTTGGCGTGCGGAACGTGTGCCTTCGCAAGTTGTCATATGCAGGCGGCTTGCCGGACCTCCTTACAGGGCGGAGGTCCCAGGCCGGATCTGAAAAATGATGTTGCCGTTTGGGACTGCATGCTGCTTGCGTGAGTTCTTGTGAGCGCCACCGACCTCCGATGAGATCCGCTGACTCGCAAGCCAAGCAGCCAAGC